TTGGTAGCCCAGGCTGGCCTCGAACTCACAGAGATCCGCCTGGCTCTGCCTCCCGAGTGCTGGGATTAAAGGCGTGCGCCACCACGCCCGGCAACGTGTTTTTGGTTTTTTGAGACAGGGTTTCTTTGTGTAGTCGTGATTGTCCTGGAACTCGCTCTGTAGACCAGGCTGGCCTCGAAGTCACAGAGATCTGCTTGCCTCTGACTCCCGAGTGCTGGGATCAAAGGTGTGTGCCCCCACTGCCCGGCCGTGTTTAAATTTTTTTTAATTAAATGCTTATGTTTAGGACCAGGTGAGGTGGTACACACCTTTAACCCCAGTACTTGAAAGGCAGAGGCAGGGGGCGTTTTCTACAAGTTCAAGGCCAACCTGATCTACATAGTGAGACTCCATATCAAAAAGCAAACCAAAAGAAACAAAAACTGCTAATGTGCACACAAGGGCTGTGGAGGTCACTGTCTGTCTTGGGGATCTGTATCGATAAACTACCCTTTCCTGCAACTTACTTTTCTCACTCACCCTCCTGGGCCACAGTATACCCAGCACCAGGCCAATCTTTTTAATGGCCATCCAGCCTCCCAGGTAGAACAGACTGCACCTTGACCACCACTGTCCTCCGGACCCCTGTTACTTTATTTTCTGCCCCCCACCCCCACTCCCAATAGGTCCATTTGTCTCCAAATCTGTAAGACAGAGCCAAGCTACTACTCAGCTCCCAGGGCGCAGGGTAAAGGAATAGGATGGGCTGCCTACAGCACGGGCCACGGATCCTAGCCCACGGGAAGCCCTGAGAGGTGAGCCGGAAGAATCCCTTTGTCCTTCCCAGCCTCCCGTGGTGTCTGGACTGAGGCCCACAGAGCTGTACTGAGCACCTCCACTGGCACAAAGCCACACGGGAGGAGGTAGGGTACGAGCCCCAGACTGTGTAGGTAGGCCCTGCCCCAGCACCTCACAACCTGCACAGGTGACAGACGAGCAGAGGGCTCCCACCTGCTTGAGCATGGGACAGATGCTTCCTAAGTACCGGCTACGCAGAACAGACCCAAACCTCTTTTCTGTCTACCCTTCACGGCATCAACACATAGACACGCTGCTCAAGGAACATGACACCCAGACCAGCCAAAGGGCGCCTCAGAACACAGGACCCCCGCGGAGCCACGCGCAGACTTACAGGATTTCATAGTTGCCGAGAACTTCCTTGGGAGGAGACTTGTTCCACTTGCAGTCGGGAATCTCGCCGTTGGGGACCGCGATGTTGAGGGTGTCATTGATCAGGTTGTACTTAAGGATCCGATCGTTGGCGGTGCTGGAGGTGAGAGACGGGGACGCGTTAACCTACGGGAAGAAAAACACACATCCTTCACCGTGGCGCTCCTTTCTCCGGAACGAAGGGAGCTCGTGGGCCCCGCGCTCCAGGCGCCTGTCATCAGTTAACGTGGACACCTCACACCTGCCAAGCACTGCAGATGGGAGGCCGCCAGAATTAGCTGTCAACCTGACATGCCCCAGAGTCACCTGGTGAAGAGAAACGGCTCACATCAGGGGTCTGTGGGCATGTCTACGAGGGGTGTTCTTTTCTTTATACTTTCTTCTTTACGCATTTATTTATTTTTCTGTGTGATGTGTGTGTGCGTGCATTTGTGTGGGCACACGTGTGTGACAGTGCACACGTGGAGGTCAGTGGACAACCCGTGGGAGTGAGGTTGGTGCTTCACTTTTACCCTGTGGGTCCTGGAAATCAAACTCGGGTTGTCAGCCTTGGCCAGCAAGTGCCTCCACACCCACTGAGCCATCTTGTTGGCCCTGTGAGACATTTTCTGTTTTTGTTTTTTTCCCTCTGGAGCTGAGGACCGAACCCAGGGCCTTGCGCTTGTAAGCGCTCTACCACTGAGCTAAATCCCCAACCCCAACATTTTCTTCACAGCCTATTTATGCAGGAGAGCCCAGGCCAGGGTGGGCAGTGCAATCCCTGGGCAGGTGGGCCTGGGCTGTTTCAGAAAGGCAGTCGAGCGAGCCAGGGAAGCAAGCTGGCGTCTCTGCTCCAGTCCCTGCCTTGGCTTCACTGGCTGGTAGACCACAGTCGAGTAAACGCTTTCCACCCAAAGGTGCGCTTTTTTTTTAAAAGTCTGATTTATGTTTTGTTGGGGGGATGTTTTCCTGGTATGTCTGTGTACCATCTGTGTGCAGTGCCCATGGAGGCCAGAAGAGAGTGTTGGATGCCCTGGAACTGGAGTTACAGATGGTTGTGAGCTGCCATGTAGATGCTGAGAATTGAACCTAGGTCCTCTAAGAAGAGCAGCCAGTGATCTAACCACTGAACCACCTCTCCAGTCTCCTCCCAAATTGCTTTTGATCAGTGTTTTTTTTTTTTTTTTGTTTTATATATTTAGAAATAGAATTGGTGGTTTATTGATAGCTATGTGCGTCTATGAACTGAAGTTTAATTTTTTTGTTGCTGTTGTTGTTGCTGTTTTTGAGACAGGGTTTCTCTGTGTAGCCTTGGCTGTCCTGGGTCCAGCTCTGTAGACCAGGCTGGTCTCAGACTTAAAGGGGTGTGCCACCACCGGCCGGCTTGATTAGTGTTTTGTTACAACAACAGAGAAGCAAAGTAGGACAGACATTGTGTGATCTGTTTCTACCGGCTGTTAGGTGAGCTATAAATAGTACTTAAAGACAGGATCACAATTGCCTATTAACCCCAGCTCCGGGGGATCTGATGTCCTCTCTGGCCTCTGCAGGCACCTGCATATGTGCACACCACCACCCCACCACCGAAGTCCCCCATCCCTGGGACACATACACACAGTGAAAAATAAAACAAATCTTTAAGAGAGAGAGAGAGAGAAATGAGAGCTACAACTAGGCTCTTAGTTCATCAAGGGAAGTGTGACTTCCATTCAAGTTACTGTATTTAAGATGCAGGAAGCCACCACCTCTGACCCCAGCACCTGGAAGCCTGGCGTAGGAGCATCAAAGCCAGCCACACAAGACCCTGTTCTCAAAATAAAGAAAAGGAAGGGATGGGGAGGGAGGGAGGGAGGGAAGGAAGTATTACATCTCCCCCATCCTCCCACTCCAGCAGGCTCCCATCATGCTCTAGATAGCTTGAATACCATGAGCTCAGCACTGAGGTTCCCTCTGACTTTCCCTGTAGGGGGCCAAGCTCTACTCTTCACACTCAGAAGAATCCTAGGCTTCCTGCCTTGAAATGAACTGAAAGGCCTGAGCTGTATGTCTCCAAACAAGCTTGTTGAGAGGGCAGGTGTCCACAGTGACACACAGAGAGACACAACCCAATGGGGGCCCCTGCATGTCACGGCATCTTCCATCCTTGTCCTCCTGATGGGATTTGCAGTCACCTAGGAGACACACTTCAGAGTAACTCGGGGTGTGTTTCCAGAGAGGCTTCACTTAGGAAGGAAGACCCACCCTGAGTGTGGGTGGCACCGTCCCAGGGGCGAGGCCCTAGGCTGAAGGACAAAGGAAACCAATGGAGTACCAGCACTCATCTCGCTCCGCGTCAGCTCTGGGCACATGTGACCGGCTGCCCCACACATCCCCCACCATGCTTTCCCACCATGATGGATTGTATGCGCAAACCATGTACCCAAAAAAACCTCCCCTGAAGCTGTTTGTCGGGTATTTGATCACAGTGCTGAGAAAAGTAACTAACGCAGTGGCTGTGGCCAAGAAAAAGCCCCGCTGAGTGGCTACGTGGCAGGATGTGTACATCTCATCCTTTCTAGATCGGCCACACTACACCCTCTTCAACAGGCGGCTGGATCCACTTCCACATTATGCCTTAACACACACTAGAGAACGGTAAGAATGCTCCCTTCTCCCACGGCACTGCTGGCCACGGCGGCAGGGTTGTGAGTTACCTCGATCAGCCAGGGCTTCAGCTTGTCGTCGATGATGATGTCGTAGCCGTAGCATTCAAAGCAGTGCTTGTCATTGTTCATCACTGGCTGTGGAGTGACCAACAGGTTATAAAGCCACATCCTGCTGGACAGTGGTGGCACATGCCTTTAATCTCAACACTCGGATAGGGGGCAGAGACAGGTGGATCTCTGTGAGTTCGAGGCCAGCCTGGTCTACAGAGTGAGTGCCAGGATAGCCAGAGCTCTTACACAGAGAAACCCTGTCTCTAAAAACAAAAACAAAAACAAACAAACAAATAAATGTAAAGCTACATCTTCAGAGACCAAAGGGACCCTCCCACACTGATGACTTCCTGTCCCTGCCCCCACACCAACAGGCTTTTTCTTATTCCTCCCAGCCTTGTAAAAAACAGATTACAAACCTGTTTCCAATGAGAAAAGTAAGCCTATTCCTTTCAATTTTTAGATTTCCATTGTAATTTTCAATTCACTTGAATATACCTGAAATAAAGTTTCCATACGTACTAAACAAGGATTGGGTATTAGGGAGACGGCTCAGAGCACTTACTGCTCTTCCAGAGGACCCTAGTTCAGCTCCTAGAACTCTTTGTCGGGCAGCTTACAACTGTCTGTTACTCCAGCTTCAGGGGATCCAATGCCTCTGTGGGCATCTGCACTCACATGCACATACCCACAAACAGACACACAGACACACACACACA